GGGGGGGGGGGGGGGGGGGGGGGGGGGGCATAAAAACTACCATCATGAAAAAGCTGGTGAAGAACCTTCTCCATCCTGGAGGAAAAAGTCCTGATTCTTGGAAGTAGAATGTGGAAGTCATGATAATCAGGGAACTAAATGTTTTATCTGAATATATGAAAACTATATGTCTAAACTTTTTAACATATCTCAATTCGTCGCTGCCGAGGTGAAAAAAGACTGAAGATAACCACAGAACCTTAAATAACTTGAAAGTGGAAGCCATGACCATTAGAGATGTAAATTCTTTATCTGCAAAATATGAACAATATACTTCTAAGTCTATCGATGTTTCGTGGTCTATTATTGTCTAACCAATCAATATCAACACTGTTCTGGTATAATAGGGCATGTTCACTAAGTTTTGAGAAAACTTAAGCTTCCCTAAAATATCAGTGTAATAATTGGAACAGTGGCAGCTATCAGAAAAGTAAAACTACATTACCTGCATGAAAGATTTAAATAACGGTGCTGCTACCCCAAAACTGGAGTTATCATTCAAATCTAATTTCTGAGGAAGCTCTCCGTTTGTAAAAGCTTTCCAGGAGTTCCTTGAGGAGATGTCATCTGAAGGTGTTGGAACAGCCGCCTTCATTCCTCCTTTTGAAGACAAGACTGGAGCACTGGATAAACAAGAAGCATATTACACCAAAATAATTCTATATGACAACCAGCAAATCAACATTATGTTTGTAACCTGAATTTTGAAAAAAAAGAGAGTAAAAAGAAACTTCAGCAGATTAGGTCAATTATTGGGCTTCCTTTATCATCGTGTAAGCAAGGTATTTGTACAAATAGGAAAGAACATTGAAATACGTAGAGCATCTAACCCAACACATATTCAATAATAAACGTGGCTCCTGAGGGCACAAACTAAATATGTTCTCCATTAGAACAAGGAAAAGGTGATTGACTAACACTCGTTCAAGTTGATTGGGCGTTTTAATTTTCCAGTTTAAGGAAGGAATACCAGACAAAAATCTTTGGAACATATTTGTCACAAACAAATTCAAAAAATTATGATCATGCCCCAACATGTTTTTAACGGTTCTTCAGCTGGAAATGTAATTGTAGGACTTATGATAAGAGGGCAAAGAAGAATTACCTGATGGGAAGATATTTAAAACGAGGAACTGTAAGGCACCTCATGATATTGGACTCTGAATTACTTGGCAATTTCTGAACAGTATCTGTGTAAATCCTATTTAGCTGCACAAACAATCCAAAAAGGACAGCATGTCGAAGATATGTCTGTCTTTCATTTTCCCAGAGATATGGCTCATACCTGAAATGAATTGCAGGAGCTGTTAGTCATCTTATCCCAAGTAGTTGCTAGAGATATCACTAGTATATGCATCTTATAGATGTAAAGCAAAACAACAGCATACCAAAACAGAACGGCATCCAAACAGATATGGCCAATGAACATGTCTACAGAGAGAATATACCCACCCATACATGAGAATTAAATTTTTACTAACCACACGTCTTTTTCTCTTTTATTCTTATCTGGTTTCTACATAAACGGATGCAGAGATTCAATGTAGGAAAACGCCCCATGGCACAAAGTATGCGACACAAGCCACTTTTTAGCATATTTGATTGGAAAGAAGCAGGAGAATTTGATATGTATCATATGTATATTATTGATGTAAAAGCAGAAACAATAGGTGATAAAATACCATAGAAGCTATCCGCCAATTAGAGAGGGTTGTATCTCTCCCAGAAACATTCCACTATTCCCTCTGCTACTAAAAAGGAAAACACATCCCGCTCACAAACTAAATTTCATTCAATTTCCTCTTTTACCCTTTCTAGCACTATCATTTACAATAGGAGGTCAAACAGAATCATTCAGGAGAAGCAAAAGGTACGCTTCCATGCATTCAACCTTTATATCCTCCTTTTTCTCTTGAAGGAGAACCCACAGAGAACAGAACCAAGCAAATTTTGAGCACCACTAGGGAAAGGAAAACAGCAAAAGGATTGAAGCAAAGTTTGGAATTCAATTGGTTTTGTTGCCTCCAACGAGAAATCTTAATGTAATTCGTTAGGATTCTGTGCATAGTTCATTTTTCATGAATTATTTTTTCTTTTTAAGCAAAAAAAAAAAAAAAAAAAAAAAAAAAAAAAAAAAAAAAAAAAGAAGNCTGGCCCTAGCCCAAATGGTTTGGATTTTGAATGTTGAACGGTTGAATATATATAGATTTGTTTTCTGTACTAATAATCGGAGGGCCACCCCTACTAATCTGAGAGTACCCGCACCTACCAATGGGCCTAGACCCAAGAGACATCAAGAGTCCTTATTAACTTCACTTGAATGTTTGAATACGTGACTTCTATGTAGGTAGTAATCAAAGAAAATGTGTATTTTCCAACAAAATCAATGTAATTGAATGTTCATCCCGTATAATTGTCGAACTTCTCTTGAAAGTTCATCAAAATCAATGTAATTGAGATGTTTATCCAGCATAATGGTGTGGAGTTTGTAATATAGTGTGGACTAAGAAGATAAAAAAGATGAGAAAAATGCAGTATAAAATAAGAATGCAATAATGTGGAATCACGATGGAACTGTAGAATGCAAAAAAAAAGTAATAATAATAAATAAATAAATAAATAAGGCAAAAGAAAGAGAATGAGGAGGGAAAAAGCAGGAAAAACAAAGAAGAAGAATAAAGAAAATCATTGTGAGTGAGGCTTGTTGAAATGAAAGGATGTGAAGAAAAGGAAGGCTTAGAAGGAAAAATCACGAGAGGAGAAGGGCGGAAAGAAATGGAGAAGTATAGGTACTCCGGTGAGGAAGGTGGATCTCAGCAATCTTAATTGAAGAAGTGAAGAAGATACTGTGAAGTTTCTTCATTCTCACAAGTAATGGGTGTTTTTTTTTTTTTTTTTTCTTTTCTCTGATGAATTAGTTGTACACTGGAAACTCAGAAGATTTCACTCTTTTAAGTAATCAAATAATGAAAATATAAACAACTACGATTTGCAGCTGATTATTATTATTTTCCTAAAGACAGGCTAGTACGTTCCAACCTCCTTGTTAGCTACTCTGCTTTTCAGAGAAATCCATAAAAGTAAAATGACTTGATCAACTCTAAATTATAATTTGTAACTATTTGCAAGCTTCCAACGACTAAATTAGGGAATAAAAACTAAACTTACGTTTGCCAGTCAATTGGATCAATCCTTTTCGAAAGATGATCTGTTAATGCATTCACACGGTCTCCAATAACTGATTTTTCCTCACTTATATTCTGCTTCCTTCTGAGGGCATACTTTGCCCTCGGGTTTTTGGACAACTCTTCACTCATATTAGAATGAGCCCCACATAAAATATCAGCAGTGAACCTAATATCTAACAGAACCTGCAGTACACCTTTTTCTGACAATTGAGGCCCGCCAACTTCCATAGATGAAATGAAGTCCCCATAGATACCTATAACCTGCAAGGAACTATAATATATAAGCTGAAATAATATAATTTCCAGTCAAGGACCACGAAACACAGATTTTATTAGTTATGTAAGCCAAACACAAGTCAAAAACAGAATTTTGTTTAGATGTATAGCAGAAGCCAAAGCTATTTTCATGACAAATGGACTGAGAAAAAAAGTCTTCACGCAGGTATATTGTATACTTGCTTATTCTATATTTTCCAATTTTTCCCCCATCTGTTCATTGTCTCCAGCAAATGATAGCAACCAATTTCATCAATAAATAGATACAAGTGGAGCAGTGTTCTCATTGATATTCGAATACCAAATTGAACATTAGTAACTTTTATATTAAGGTATTGTAAATACAGCATATGTGGGAGGAAGGAATAAGTTTTCATGCACTTCAAATAAATAAACTGAAAACAAAATTAACAAATGAATGCTTGGACTAGTTAAGATATTTTCTTTATTCACTAATTGTGGCATAAGATTATTGCAAGCATAAGTCTTTCTGGGCTGGTTAGTTGAGGAGGATTAATACTGTGGATTTTGTTCAGAGATCTTCATCTTTGATTTCAAAACTTCAAGGTACATGTCACGAAAAGAATGTTGGTTGGAAAGAGGCATGGATCAGTTTCATAGAGATGTCTCTTCGCTACTAAGGTTGTGGAAGATATTTTGAGAATCTTTTAGACAGTTTGTGTCGGTATGGCTCTAATCGAAGTTGTCAGAACATGATTGAGAAGGTACTTTATAATCCCCCTTCAAAATCGAGGCAAGCTTCTCTGACAAGCATCATTCTTAGTTATCATTTGAAACATCTAGTTATAAAGAAAAACAAAATCGGCCAACCTTCAAGGATGAAGAGGGATCATGGGAGGAGGAACATGATGCTGCTCACTTCACACGTCCCCTTTGAATAATATCTATAAAGCGTTTCTATCATTTTTGTTGTTTTTTTATTCTTAACAACTAGTCCTTTGCTTTGGGGCTGCATTACCACCCTCTTTTTTGTTCTTCCATTTATTTAAATGAAGATTTGCGTACTATTAAAAATGAAAATTCCAAGATTCTTTTTGCAACAGAAGTTATAATTTCCAATCAAACAAAATACCTTTTCCAGTAGGGTTGTTGCAAATTTTCGAATAACTATCTTCTGAAGAACATGACCTCCAATTCTGTGAATTTCTTCACATGCGCGGAACAAAAAGGAAATTATATAAAGAGAAGGCATTGATGGAAGAGCAATTTTCATATCTGGTTGACCTTCAGCAGTTTGTTCTTGCTTGATTACTGTCTCTTCCCAGCCCTGCCGATTACAAAAAACTATTACCATATATGTGTAAATTATAAACAACGGAATCAGCAAAAATAGAACTAAAGGAAAACAAAAAACGCTGCAATACTTTGATAAGAATACCAGTAAACGGGTAGGAAAAACCTAAGCTATGCATCAGAATACTACATAAAACTAGAAAATGATATGATTTCAACAACAATGTCAAGTTAGGTTTAGGGACTAGGGTCAAGTTAGGTCATGTTCTCTGACATCTGATTTAAAAGATTATATGGCCTTTTTCAAAAGAGAAAAAACAAAAGATATATGCTCCATGCATTTTCAATAAGAACAAATGTGGTTTTTTTTTCATTTTCTTTGAAAGAAAAAAACAAATGCAAGAAAGGAATGGATGAAATGGTGGTTTAGATCTTCCCACTTCTTTTGCAATTGCAGTGAAGTTGGAAGTAGAGAGAGGGTACACGAAGTCTTTTCCTTGGGATCTTGACTTGGGGTGATTGTACCCATAAAAGCAAGGGACCACAAAAAAAATTAATCCTAATTTAGGAATAAGATCAAGCACTTGAAACCACTACTCTTCCTTTTACCTTGTTTTAACTTGAAACCTTAGCCTCCATGTATTTTCATTAAATGGCCAGGATTCCCTCAACCTTTTTTCATTCATCAACAATGAAACTGGATTATAAGTGTTTCAACATGCAATATTTAGTATTAAATTCACATAAAAATAATCTAAGTAGGTGGAAGAACATCACAGGTCACTTACCAACAACAATCAGGCAGAAATTATCAATAATCAAGAAAAACATAAAAGCCTATCAAAAAGCAATTAAGCTAGTCACACGAAAAGAAATCAAAGCTACTAAAGGTGAATATGAATAAAGTTTCAGCGTGAAACATGGAAAATATTTACCAAGCTCAATTTTTTTTATCAATTTCGTAGTTAAAACACCAAATAGTAACAATGGGATTTACTACAAGTGTTTTAGCTTTGGGGAAAACAGTCATTGCAGGTCCCATTGCATATGTAGTATGCAGGGTTAGACAAAGAATCAAAAAATGAAAATAATAAAAATAACACAGAGAAAATACCACTTACCCTCAAGGGAGTTGTTGACAGTAGGGCATCATCTTGGACAAGATCTCTAGAGAAAATGGCAGAAAGCTCATTACATAACCATGACATCCACAAGCTATGAGACCTCACAGAAAGATCATGAGTAATCCTATTCAGTTCTTCAAGTTTTGGGTTTGCACTTTCTTTAGTTCTAAGCAACGCAGCTGTGGCTAGTGATGTTTGCCTTCTAGAATCATTTGACATCTGTCTTCCAGGGGAATTAACATTTAGAGGAGAATTGGGAAGACTTTTGGATTGTCGCAGTAATAAAGAATGCTTATCAAACACAGAGGATGATGAGTCATTTACCCAAGATTTTGGTGAACCAAGGATGACACGAACATGCTTCAAGTGATTTTGAAATGCAAATAGGAGCCGACCAATGAAAATTGATCTCTCAACAAGTGGAGCAAGGTTAACAGGCTGACTAGCAGCCCTACTATTTTCCATATTACTACATAGATTATCAATCTCTTTTTCTAGTTCCAACAGTATGGTTGACATGCTTTCATAACACTTATTCTGTAAATAAGGTGCTAGGTCTTTTAACCTTATTGATGCCTTCGGAGATTCTATGAAACATAGAAGATCCTTAAGCACATTCTGACAACAGCTTTCAAATGCATCTCTGATTCGACTGACTTCTGGACCAAAATAAGCATTGATACAATTACTAAAATCACTCTCCTCTACAGATGCTTTTGCTCCCACAGTTGGACAGGCTTTCTTAGGATTAAATTCTATAAACCAAACCCCACCACCTGTAGAGGGTCTATTCATGTACCCATTATTACTTGAAACATCATCAGGTAGATGAACCGATTCGGAAATATTAACTACGTTAATCATTTCCATGAACCTTGAGTCAATAATAGTTCTCATCCTGCAAGCAAATGCGTCTTCAAATATGTCATCCCAGAGGTCTGAGTCATCTTCCAAAACAAGTTCCCTCATTCTACTCCACGGCAACTCGATTTCAGATCCAAAAACACTTCTCAACCAATCCAAACTTCCTTCCAAGACTTCCTTACTTTCCATTGTCTCTCTAATTAATTTCTCAGCAGAAGCAAGGTCCTGGCCACTTCCAATGGCATCGATCAAAAACCATCCATTGATCTGGCTAACGATCTCTCTTCCACATTCTCTTAGCCAACTCGACATGGTCTTGGCAATGTAATCTTTCTCAAGCATGACCATGACTGACTCTAACGTATCCCTAAATAACTTCCAGAGCCTAACTTCCTCATCCGGATTGGGAATTCCGCCAAACAATTGTGATGCAGGTGGAGAACTCAATATAACTTTGTAAAACAATGGCATATCATTCAGAACTTGCAAAAATAACTCACCGACCTGTCCTATACTAACCTGAATTATAGCTAAAACCTCGCAGAACACGGATACAACAATAGAGCAAGTTGCATTGCTCCCGCACGTACCTAATTTTTGAGAAATCCAAGACTTCCTCGAATCGAGAAACAAACTGAGTATTTGCTTCGGCTCAAGCTCATCAATAACGGCGACAGCAGCCAAAGCATCCGCATAAGCTCCAACCCCAAGTCCACGATCGAGTAGTCTTTCACGGCTACGCTGCGAAATCTGAGATTTGAAGCTCTCCACTATCTGCCAATGGTGCTGAAGCAGAGGAAAATTGGAGAGAAACTTACGGTCCGAATCGGCATTGTGGGTCGTCAAAGCTTGCTGCACATGCTTCGCTCGAAGATGACGAACAGCGGCTTCGAGAAACATGGACTCATCGAGGCAACCCCAAATATTCTCAGGAGTATCGACAAGATACTTAACCCGACAAGCAATGGCGTAAAGGGTAACACGAACATGATTATTAGAAGGAAGATGCGTGTGCGAGTCCGAAGATGAAAGTGAACGGATAGAAAGGTGAATGGAAGAGAGATTAGATGAAATTGAATGGGAAGTCGACTTCATGAGAACAATGGAGTCGGCGGAGTCGATCAGATCTCGGTAACGGTTACCGACGAGTTGCCGTAGCTCCTCTTGCTTGGACTGGATCTGCGCACGGGTGGAGGATTCCACCTCCCGAATTTCAGAAATGGGTTTCGTTCGAAACAGAGATTCGGCATCTCGGTAACCTCCTCCTCCGTCAATGGAGGAAGCTGAATGTACTCCCATGGCTGCCCCTTCTGACGTTTTAGGAATTGGTGTGGATCGGATACTAGGAAGATGCCAATGTCATGAATCAATCGCAAGGAAATTAGCATCCGGAATGGATTTCGATTAGATTAGAGCAACATTTTGTCGATTTTGCTTGAGATTTGGATTCGGCCTTCTTCTATACACCAAATTTTCGCCCATGTCGAACTTCTCTAAAATTTACACAAGTGTCTGAAACGAGCCGGCCGTTGGCCTAAACTTTCTCAAATTTACCACTTTGCCCCTGGCTCAATAAAATATTATATCTTTAATATGTTTGAATTTTTAATTTTATATTTAATATGTCCTAATCTAATTAAATTTTTTATAAATTATTATCTATCTTATTCAACGTTCCTCTTGAATATTAGATTAATATGCATTTTGAGTAAGCATTAGTTACGTGAGCATTAAATGATTTTAAAAGACATATTTTGTGTATCGATTCATACTTATTGTTCGTAGATGCTTTCAAGGCATAATAATGCTTACTAGACTTTACCAACCTATTTTATGTTTATCAGGCTTCTACCAACCTAATCATTGCCCCTAACTATATCAAGCAAGTATCATACCAACCGAAAACTATGGAGGTCAATTTACTTTCATTGCTCACTAAGATGCGCATTATTGAGAACCGGTCCATGGGCTATATTTGTAATTAGAACTTCTCGAACATCCATCCAACCACGCATATGAAAGTTCGTCAACTCGTGAATCCTTGCTAAGTCATATATGCATACCATGCCCAATGGTGACACTAAAATTTCTTCTTTTTGGAGAAAAACAACCTTCCAAGTATTATCCATAGTAATTACTTCTAAAAATAACTCAGACTGGAGAACCTGCTAAAAGTTAAACTCAATCTTCTGTAGATGCAGAGACGTGATGTGGGAATGTAGACCATACATCTTCCCATGTTCTCAAACCATCCGTTACATCTTTCACGACCGATGCTGCCTCTTCCACGCCCACACGAATTTGGTCTTTGCTATCCCTCTCTCGAATTGTCACCGAAGATGCTGAATCGACAGTGATTGCAAAAGGAACGCCAAGCTCATCTGTTCTTGCATATCGTTTTCCTATTGATGTACCTGTTAACATTTTTTAACGAAGAACATATAATGAGCATATAATCACTTCAATGTAGAAGAAGAGAAGTCAGATGATAAAGATCATGATTTTAAACCAAACAGAGAAGTTACAAACGAGCGAGAAACCTGCAATTAAACACACACACAAAGATGAACAACAAAACGAAGATGAAAGTTCGTTCAAGTACCTGTGATGTCAATTTTATGGGAAATGCCAGCAACAGTTAATGACTTTGAAATAGCTTTAGCAACCTGCTCGTACTGTTGATTCTGAACAAGTGGGAAAACTGTGCACTTGATTGGTGCCACAAGGGGTGGAAATCTAAATACATTTAAATGCTCATCTCCTGCTTTGCTTGGTCGCATGTAGTAAGAGTGTTCAAAGAGGCAATAGATAATCCGACCAATACCAAAAGAGGGCTCAATCACAGATGGTGTGAAAACCCTCTGATGCTCCTTCTTTTTCTCCTTGGAAATTGCAACCATACCCTTCTTGATCAACACATTTTTCCCCAGAGTGCAGACATAGAACTCTACCTCTTCATTGGATTCTAGAGTTGCCTTCATCTCTAAGGCTTCTTTCTCCTTCATTGCCTAAAACATATTGCAATACGTCGGGTTTTCGAAAAATATACAGATGCTGTAAATACCCGGCAGAAAAAATTCCATAATTTACCTCCAAAGCTTCAACCACGTTCTTTTGACTTCCCTTGAAAGCGAGGCCGAGTTCTTTCTTAACAGGAGCAATGACCAATTTCTGTAATTTAATTTCATGAGTAAAGCATTGAAAAAACTTTTTTTTTTTTTTTGTCATGAAGAAGGTACTTGCAGATCTCAATAACTTCAGAGATAGCACGAATGAGCAGTACCTCAACTTCTTTTGGTTCAGCAAATTTCTCATGTGCTACAAGTGGAACACCACTTTTTTCCTATTAAAAGGAGAGGAAAAGGAAAAAAAATGAGTCTATTTTACATGCAACTTGAAATTATAGACACTATCTTAATGGTAGAACTGTTAAAAGACACTTCTATCTTACAAATCCTATCAAACAATAAGACAGTTTAAATGAGCTCAATGAAAACTAAACTAGTAATGGAATTTCTGCCATAAAATTAAAGACACCGTATTGAATTACAATTATTTGGAAAACATAAGGTTTGGGCTGAGTTCATACCGTGTGAGCATGTAAATCATATGCAGATCTATCAGCAATGCCAACACATTCAATCCAACCATAAGAACATTCAATCTCGGCATCCCAACAGTCAGCTGCATAATGAGCCATTTCATTTGCAAGGTGCTGTCGAAAACGCAAACGGTCTTTGTCTATGCCAAGGCGAGTTAGGAAAAGATATACTCTCCCAATGAAGTAGCCAAGAGTTTCATTATTTACAGTTCCCTGCATCATGACATAACAAATCAGCCTAGTAAACAAGTACAGGAGACATGGTAGTGAAATAAAGGAGGCAGAGATAATCAATACACAAACCTTAGAAACAGCTTCGCCCAATGGAATTTTCTTTGCAGAATTACCAGACATTTGCTCCTCTCTTGGAAACATCAAAAACTCCAAATTGGCAACATCAGCAAATTTTGGATGAGATTTGTCTTCTGGATCAACAAAGTGCTCAATCTCTGCTAGTGTGAATTCACGAACTCTAAGCAGCCCTTGTCGAGGAGATATCTGTAGTAAGACAGATGGGCTGGAAATTGAACTTACACACCAAAGGCTATAAAACAGGTAAACCTAGGACAAGGGCTAGCAAGAAGAACCATTTTGTTACGGTCCAAGCCCACAGCTAGCAGATATTGTTCACTTTGACCCTCGACCTCACGGTTTTAAAACACGTCTTCTAGGGAACGGTTTTCACACCCTTATAAGGAATGTTTTGTTCCCCTCTCCAACCGATGTGGGATCTCACAATCCGCACCCCTTGGGGCCCAGTGTCCTTGTTAGCACACCGCCCGATGACTGGCTCTGATACCATTTGTAACAGCCCAAGCCCACCGCTAGCAGATATTATCCGCTTTGACCCTCGACCTCACGGTTTTAAAACGCGTCTTCTAAGGAGAGGTTTTCACACCCTTATAAGGAATGTTTTGTTCCCCCCTCCAACCGATGTGGGATCTCACACATTTGAAAGCAACAATTGCAAGAACCGCTAAATAGGAGACATGGTAATGTAAGACAAAGTGAAACACAGGTCATTCTTGTAACACTGCTGTCTCATCCATAGCTTATAAACATAATTAAGAAGCTCAAAAACAAGTGGCTAACCATCTTGCAATTTAAGAAAAATAGTATATAACCTCATTTCTAAAAGCCTGCCCAATTTGTGCTGCAGCAAAGGGTAGTTTGTTTCCATTGTAATAATACAAATCTTTGAAATTGACGAATATGCCTTGAGCAGTTTCAGGGCGCATGTACCTGCAGCATTTACATATTTACACATCTAAATTAGCATTGACCGAGAGTCAACCATTTTCTCCTGTGTAAAATATGAGAACTAAATGGCAAAAAGTCACAAGTTGAATAGAAAATTGTTACAATATACTGATTCGAAAATGAAGTAAATCAAAATGAAAGTGCGTAAATTTGGATCGAATACTCACCCAGGGAGCAAGCCAGATGGGCCAATTGAGGTTTGAAACATTAAGTTAAATGGGTAAGGATCGGATAGTGGATTCTTAGTATCTGGAGCTGTAATACCATATTCCTTAATTTTAGCACCCAGATCATCAGCAGAAAGATCGTCCAAGATGGCGAGAATATGCTTTAATTCCGCTGCCTTCTCAGAGGATATGCTAAGATCTTTCTGAAGTTTTTCATTACAGAAATCCTTAAGCAAGTGATCTGCCCTGTAGCAGGTCCCAGTTTTCTCATCCTTGACCATAAGATCCGTGAACTTATCCACGTGACCAGACGCTTTCAGGACTACTTCTGGCGTAACGCAAGGGCAATCAACTTCCAACATATTTTCCTCAAGAACAAAATGCTGCCAAAGAGTACAAAAAGAGAGAATTATGCCACTTTCCAGACCATAATTGAATTGAACAGATTTTCATGTATACAGTAGGAGATGACGAATCCACTTTCGAATCTCACTGGCAACAAAACTTGGGAACAATTCTGAATCGAGAAACCCAAAGAAAAAGATAATTCAATTAGCAAACCTGACGCCAAAAGGCAAGAACATTGGACTTGACTGCGCAACCGGGAGGGCCATAATCGTACAATCCAGCAACCCCACGGTAAATCTTGAAGGACGGAATGTAAAACAAACGCCTCTCAAGAGTGTTACCCACAGCTTGCCGGAACGACTCCCTGTTCAAGGCGCCATCGCCGCCGCCAGCCCCACTAACAACCGCCTGTAACTGCTTCTCAATCGAAGCCTTCTCGATCTTCAATCCATTCAAAGCTTCAATAGCGACATCAATCTCAGCCTTGGCAGCACCGGCAGCCTTGAGGGCCCGAACAGCATCGCCTTGAGCTTCAACAGCCAATTGCTTTAGAGAAAGGGCATTTCTGAGCGATCGCTCGGAGGAATCCATTGAAAAAAGACGTGGGAAATTACGGAATTGAAAGGAAAAGGCGTTTCTGAGAGGAAAATTGAAATGGTGAGGAAGAGGATTCGTTGAGGATAGAAGAGATGATAGAAGGCGCATACGAGATATGAAATGGGAATAGGGTTTATGAGGGTGGGGCCATGGTTTCGAATATGGTTCGTCCCTACAAAGACACCCCACCAAAATATCTGGATATGGAAATGGAATCCACACAAGATCTTCTTCTTCTTCTTCTATTTACTAGGGTTTATCAGTCACAGAAAAAAAAAAGAATCAAACGGTTAGAAGACGACATGAATGGTTGCAGCTGAGGAAGAATAAACGGAACTGAAAGGATAAACCGAACCGGTTATTGAACCAACAAAACCCTAACGAATCCTTATATCCAAAGAAAAAAACAATAATTAAATAAATATAAATGCTCTAATAGGCGTATACCCTCACGTGAATCTTCAGCTCTAAAAGCTTCGAGATGGTTTGAGAACTAGTTTCGCTTATGCACCAATAATTGAATATTAAGGGGGACAATCAGTCAAAT